CTTTGTTGAAAAACTTCATGTATAAGCAGTGCTGCAATTTGTGTGTGTTAATGAATGCATGAAGAATAAGAAACAGGTTTTTCTGATATGAAAACTGAAGTGAATGTTTCAGATAGCAAATATTTGCTGGAGAATACATTGACTTTTCAAGTAATTAGGGAAACATTTGTGTCTTTATGACAATTCTGCAGGAGTTAAATTTTTCTAATACTAGTCATTAAGCTCCATTCAGTTGTGTTACATAATTTCCTGAAGTTAGTCATATGAATGCAGAAAGATAAATGTTATAGGGACGCGGTTTGAGAGCTAAATGGTGGTAACTAGATCTTATTTCAGCATCCTACAGCAAAAGGAATAGACCTGAAAGTACAACAAACAACTTGATTTTTAACTATTTACAGTCATGTAAGGAAGATGTTAGACACACATGAAGCTTTTCAGTTATGAGAACAAGAAAGTCTTGTTTCCTGCTCTTAAATTGGGTGCACAGTCTGGAGGTGGTAATGTGCTGGATTCAACCTGTAGAAGCCTGTACTAGAGCGAGAGTGTGGCAGAACTTCAGCATGGAAATTTCAGCATGGAAAGTACACTGCTATAGCAACTCCCTCTTTTCTCTCAAGGGAAAATATGCCTAGCAAAGCAGAAAGTATCTCAAAGGGATAGTCATTACAAAAGCAAGACTGGGTGAAGTTGAAACAGAATAACAATATACAGAAAAAGCTGTGTTATCTGTCACTCTAGCAACTGGAAAGCTCTAGAAACTGGCATTTTGGGGTTCCAGATCCAGGCAACGCTCACCTTGGGTCGCTCCCTGCAAGCGGCAACATGTCCCTGCTGCTCCTAGGAGGAGGAATGGCCATGGGGGCTCCATGCGCTGCCCGTGCTCTGAGCACTGGCTCCACAGCTCCCATTGGCCAAGCACCAGGGCCAATGGGAGCTGCAGGGTTGGTGCCTGCGGGTGGAGGCAGTGCGCAGAGCCCCCTGGCTATGCCTCCGCCTAGGGGCAGCAGGGACATGTCATTGCTTGCGGAGCACTGCCCGGATCCGGCACCCTGCACTCCGTCTCGCACCCCAACACTCAGCCCCAAGCTCCATCCCACACCCAAACTCCCTCCCTCAATTGGTAAGTGTAAGTGAATTTATTCCAAAGCCTCCTGTATTGACACCTCAACCTGGGACAGTCCCTCAGATTTCTCACCTAAAAAAGAATGGCTCATGTGTGGGAATCTCCTTCACATTTTCTTCATTGAAGACAATGCAAACAATTCATTTAGCTTCGCCACAATGACCTTGACTTAAGTGTTCCGTAAGCACCTCGATTGTCCAGAGGCCACACTGATTGTTTTGTAGGCTTCCTGCTTTTTATGTATTTAAAAAAAATAATTTGCTGTTTTTGAGTCTTTTGCTAGCTGCTTTTCAGATTATAATTAGGCAGGCCAAAACATACTTCACTTGCCAGTTTGTTCCTTTCTATTTTCCTTAGTAGAATTTGACTTCCAATTTTTAAAGGATGCCTTTTTGCCTCTAACTGCTGCTTTTACTCTGTTTAGCCATGGTGGCATTTTTTGATCCTCTTACTGTTGGTTTTAATTTGGGGTATACATTTAATTTGAGCCTCTTACGATGCTTTTTAAAAATTTGCATGCAGCTGTCAGGCATTTCACTCTTGTGACTGTTCCTTTTAATTTCCATTTAATTAGCGTCCTCATTTTTGTGTAGGTCCCCTTTCTGAAGTTTAATGCTACTGTGGTCGGCTTCTTTGATATTCGCACGCCCTCCCAGCCCCAAGGATGTTAAATTTAATTATATTATGGTTACTATAACCAAGCGGTTCAGCTGTTTTCACTTCTTGGACCAGATCACGTGCTCCACTTAAGACTAAGGCCTAGTCTTCACTTACCGGCTGGTCCGGAGGCACGCAATCGATGTTCTGTGATCGATTTATCGCGTCTGGTTAAGACGCGATAAATCGATCCCGGATCGATCCCGGAAGTGTCCACAATCGGCGCCGGTACTCCAGCTCTCCGAGAGGAGTACGCAGCGTCGACGGGGGGAGACTTCCGGCCGCGTCTAGACCCCGGTAAGTCCGGACTAAGGTACTTCGAATTCAGCTACGTTATTAACGTTATTAACGTAGCTGAATTTGCGTACCTTAGTCCGAAGTCCGGACTAAGTGGGGACCAGCCCTTAATCAAGAATTGCCTCTCCTCTTATGGGTTTCAGGACTAGCTGTCCCAAGAAACAGTTATTAATGGTGTCTAGAAACTTTTTCTGCATCATGTCCTGAGATGACATGTACCCAGTCAATATGGGGATAGTTGAAATCCCCCATTATTATGGAGTTTTCTATTTTTATAGCCTCTCTAATCTCCCTGAGCATTTCACAATCACCATCCTGGTCAGGTGGTTGGTAGACTATTCCTACTGCTATATTCTTATTATTCAAGCATAGAATTTCTGTCCATAGAGATTCTATGGTAGTTTGATTAATTTAACATTTTTAGTATGTTAGACTCTATGCTTTCTTTCACACATAGTGCTACTCCCCCGGCAGCACAACTTATTCTGTCATTCCTATATATTGTGTACCCTGTTGTGTGTCCAATTGATTGTCGTGATTCATTTAAGTTTCTGTCGTGGCTGTTATATCAGTATCCTCATTTAATATCAGGCACTCAAATTCACCCATCTTGATATTTAGACTTCTAGCACTTATAAAATTTGTCACTTTTTGGTTGTCTGCCTTCATGTAATGTAATTGAATGGGGATTCTTTTTCATTTGACTGTTTCTCATCAGTTCCTACCTGTACTTTATCAATTTTATCCTCTCCTTTTGTCTAGGATATAGAGAATCCTGGGTAATAGATCCTCCCCTATGGGATATCTTTGATCAAACCATGTGAGACTAAGGCAAATAAGGATCAAAAATAACTCTGAACAGCTTTCTGACTTGATTTGTTATTGGCATAACCTGATCTTACTCATTTTCTCTGTAGTTGAACTTATGAAAGCAACAATCCTTATCTTTTTTTTTTGAGGGACTTGACCTGTACTTAATTACTGTATCTACTTGTGACACTGAGTCACTTTGGGGAGACTTAATATGTAACCAACCTTGGTGCATAGTTCTCATCATAGAACACTTTTTGAATAAAAAATCAGTTTAGCCACACAGGAGATGCTAGATAGACTCAATGCTGAATGTTTAGTAGTTTGGAGCAAAAGCAATATATCAGTTTGTAGAGCAGTGAGTGCCTTGTCTACTGAGAAAGCACCTTTTATTAAATTTCTATCATAAGAAAATTAGAATCAGCAAAGTTTGGGTGAGGTTCATTAAATGGTAGTCTCCTACAACTGTAGTAAAAGTGCGTGATCAGAAGTCTGACTAAATATGGCACCTCCTGCTCCCTGAGTGCATTCTGAGTCATATCTACTTAATTTAGTGACACACATGTTTAAATAATAGCACCGCAGAACCAACACAGCTATGCCATGAGACTCTTATAGCTGATGTTTAAAGTAGATTTTTACCTGGATTTATTCATGGTGTGGAGGGGAGGACTGATTGAGTTGGGTACAGTTTAAGATGACTTGCTGCTTGTCCCACATTTGCTTCACTCCTCCTCCTTTTAGGAGTTCATTTACATTATAAAAAAAAAATGTGGACACTTCTACAACCATTCAGGTACCTTTGGCTGTTCTTGGCATTCCTTGTCCCTTGCAGTGAAGGAGATTCTGTTCTGGCTCATACCTACTAACCAGACTAGTAGAAAAGGAACTTCAACCATTACATCAGAAACACATGTTAATTGACTTGTTGTGATGGGTAAACTAGGAAACGCAGCCTGACATTAAAATTCCAGGTTGATTCTGCAACACTGATCCTTCTATATGTCTTGTTGCTTGTAAAGTGCAAACACTTGATATGGTAGTCACTGGCTACGTCTACACTGTGACCTCGGCATGTGATTCCTCTGGTGTGTACACATCGGTGCTAGCTCTCATCAAGCTACTGTGAGTATGAATAGCAGTGTAACCGTGGTAGCATGGGTAGCAGCAATAGAGGCATGCCAAGTACATGCCCACTGGTTTCCACGGGGTCTGTTCTCTACATGGCTCAGCCATGCCTCCGCTACCTGTGCTACCGCAGCTATGCTGTTTATACTCTCACTAGCTCGATAAGACCTAGCACCAGTACGTGTATACCACTGGGGGAGTCACGCATAGTTCATGGTGTAGACGTAGCCATTGAGACAAACTTGAAAACCCATGGCAACAATTATCTTTCAGAGGAGACCTGGGTGGAGTCACATACTTCATGCTAAATTTCTTGTTAAAATATAGAAGCCAAGTCTGTCTTTTGTTTAACAGATTATTTTGTGTCTGAATAAATCTTGTTCAGTAGTATTGCTAAATTTAGGAAGGAAAAGCAGCGTCAGAACAAGGAAATCAACAGGCTCTTAGAATGGCACTGTCTGAAAGTTCATGTTCATGAACTACCATGTTCGTGATAGAGGTTTTAAACCGCTATATACATTCATACCTACAGATACAAGCTTCAGTCCTTCAGAACTAGGTTCTTATCATAGTGCCTCCCTGGGATGTGAACCAAGATTTCTTAGTGATGTGGTTCCAAGGTACATATCAAAATGCACGCTTCCGTAGTACACAGCGTTGCTCCAGGTATATAACAGTAATTTAAACATTCCATGTCAGAAAGGTGCCGTATGTAATGATTATTTGAAGTGACTTGTTTACCTAGTTTGAGTAACAAGTGGATATCTTGAAACGCTAACCTATGAAGATAAAATTTAAAATGTAACTCTAAACAACTGCTAGTTAACAGATCAAGTGTGGCAATGGTCAGTTGGAGACTGCCATTCTACTCTTTTTAGTTACTGAGCTAAAGCGACATAAAACCATTGTTGAAAGAATTGACTCAATCACTTCTGCTATACAATAATTTGAAATTGAAAACCGCTTCCTCTTCTCTTTACAGGGGCAGGAGACATTGTTGCAATTATGATCAGCAATCTGCAAGGCCTGGACATCTTACGCCGGATTGAGAAGGGCTTTCAAGTGACTATGGTTATTGAAGTAGGGAAAAAGCATGCACCCTGGATGAATCACTATTCAATCTTCTTTGTCTCAGTGTCGTTTTTCATTGTCACAGCAGCAACTGTGGGCTACTTCATATTTTATTCTGCTAGAAGATTCAGGGTTGCAAGAGCTCAGAACAGGAGAGAGGTTAGTTTCTCTCATATATTTGACACTTGCTTATTTATGTTGTACATGGGCATATTGTAATGGGAGATGGTGGTGGTTGTAGCTCTACCTGCAGGATCTTTCCACTGGCCTAGGGAATTCTGGGGCTACATCCGTCATGCAAAATGAAAAAGCTTGAACCCTGGGTCTTGGCTTTATTTGGGCTTGAACCGTCCACGCTTGTGGGGTCTCAGAGCCTGAGTCCAAGTCTAACAGACGTGTGTAGATAGAAGGGGAGTTTTGGGGCTTCCACTGAAGTGCAGACATACCCTTGGAAGCTATGCATTGTGATAACTTTCTACATTACTTTCACAGAAACAAAGCTCCCTCTTCATAATGATCCTATCGCAGTTAACGTGAAACTTGATAGCAGTGATTTCCAGACCTGGGGGCATGACACTATTATTTCCCAGTTGGTTATGATATTGTTGACCTCTCCAGCTAAACCAGTGCTGGTTCCTTTCCCTTCAAATGTTTGTGAAATCTTGATTTGGGTTTTTTATAGAATTCCATATGCCTGATAAACTGAATTCATGCAAGTAGTGAAAGGCTCAGTCTTTTGTTGATGTATTTATTTTAACCTATGACCACCTAATATGCTATTACAATGCAGACCCCAGTGTATCAAAAGCTTCTAGTTCTAATAGGTTGGCTTCCCAGTGAACATAAGACCAACTGTCATCTGCTTCAGTTGTGGAAAAATAGAATAAAGTTACTTAACATTCTACTAACAGAATATGAACTGATAGGCATCAGTTTTCCCACCACTGGAAGCAACTGAACATTCATATTAAAATTCATAGACTTAGTGCATGTGCTTTCCAGTTGTTCTTGCGTTATTACTGTGAAGCTTATGTATACAGTAGAACCTTTCCAACTTGCACAAAAATTATAGCTTTTTCCCTACCTCAGATTTAGTAGTAGATGCGGTAGTTACTCTACAAAATGACACTACAGACTATTTCATGAAGCTTACACTAAATGTGTGCTATAAATGAGCAAAGTACAATTGATGTGCATGTTTGTGTTCATTTGTTTGCAAAATCCAGTAACTTGTAATGAGGCTCCCCCATCACTAATGCATACTAGTAATGGTCTACTGTAGTAAATTCACCATGACTTTAAGTAATAGTTCTTACTGCTCCTCCAGGGGTGTGCCAGAAGATGTAGTGACACTTGAAACAGCAGAAAACATTCTTTCCTTAAAAATTTCATGAATTAAGAAGGCTCTAAAAGCTTAGTCTTGCAAGTTCTACAGTGTGCTCCTTGGAGAGGATTATAAAACACTGAATGAACAAATGCAGAAGTTATTTTAAATGTATTGCTTAAGGTCACTTTTGTGCTTCCTTAGGTGGGACTTCCCGGTCTGAGGATGTTTTGTGTCTTTAAAATGCTAAATATTATATTTCCCCAAACTCTCTTCCCAAGGCATTACAAAAAGCCAATTTTTATTATCTGGAACACTTAACAAAACATCTGCTCCAACTGCTTGTTTTGTACAGCAGCTATAATAAACATTATCCCTAGAGCTGTGACCTAATAATAATGCTGATATTAGATCATGTGATAAAACTTTTGGCTATTAGCATTTCCTGTCTCCTAGTTTTGTGATAAAAGACACAACCCAGAGACATTCAAGAGTCTTCAAAGCCAGGTGCACACATGAGTTTCCTATTTTAGGATTTTTAGCAAAGAAGGAAATTGCTTTAGAAATTTAACATTAATAAGACACTCCTCATCAAAGGAAATTACTGAATTTCAACTTTTGGTGTCAAAAGCATGTTGACATATTATAAAACTGTAATCTTAGATTTTAAAGCCCCAGCAGGGACTTGCATGGAAACTTGTTGACTAATTAGTATCTCTTGATATCAACTATGTGGTAATTTATGATCAGCTAATATAATTAATACAAATTATGTCTCCAGTTTGACTGCTTCACAGTTGATATTCTAGTCACAAAGAGCTCCTAAAATCTTGGGGACAAATCTATAATGGGCCTTAATTTGGTATGAGAATCTAGTCCTATCGTTTCTTCTCCCCATGGAAAGCATAGGCCAATGGCTGTAGTCACTAGTAGGCAGAAGGGCTGAATGTGCCAAATATGAACAGCCATTTCTATATGGTCCTTATTGTATCATTCGGGAGCCTACCAGAACACGTGATCCTCTCTGGTGACTTTGCAAGGGCTGTTCTCTCTCCAGCTTTCTTTCCAGGGCTTCCGGTAAATCCCCAGTCTTCTGGAGCTGTGAAAAGAGGATCTGATAAACAGTTCTCTCCCCCAACCCATAGTGCAGTAAAGAGATACTCAAAGTAACAGGTGGTTTTCTGATTGTCTCAGAGCAAATCACAGATTTGGTGCTTGGATACTTGTGACTGATAAAACAACCTGTCCTTCATCTCAGATGATTTCACTGATAACCCTCCCACATAATCTCCTAAATACGCTTGTTCATCCAGTCCATGAACTGGACTGCTTGAAACAAGCTAGCATAGGTCAAAATTCAAAGAAGAAACATGAGAATGTCATAACTGTGTCACTGTAGTAGCAAACATAGTCATAACTTGTAAACCTAGTGAATGGGTAAACTGACTCACTAGGAATGTAGCCCAACTCCAGTTAACCTACATTACAGTCTCCATTCCTGGTAGGCTATAAGGTTAGAGAGATGGATATAAAAATGTTTCTTGTGAATCTAACCAGGACAGCTGAACATCAGTTATAGCATGATTATTGTAGAATTTTAGCTCAATTAAGTTTTCAATATGTAGTTTGAGAACCTCTTGTTTGTAAGTTTGAGCTCTTTACTTATGGATATTAATTCTAATAGAGTACCTCCAAATCTCATGGCTATAGGTAATGTCAGGGGATCTACTGCTTCCATGGGGTACTAGGTGAAAATACAGCAGATAGGGTTCAGGTACATCATCTGTGAAATGTGCTAGACAGCTTGCTAGTTTTAATCAAGCTACACATTTGTCTTAATCTGTTACATAAGAACATAAGTGTCCATACTGTTTTAGACCAGTGTTGCATCTAACCCGGCCAGTATCTTGTCTTCAAACAGTAGCCAATGCCTGATGTTTCAAAGGGAATGAACGGAACAGGGTAATCACTTGATGATGCATCCCTGTCATCCAGTCCCATCTGGCAGTCAAAGGCCCATGCACACCCAGAGCATGGGGTTGCGTCCCCGACCAGCTTAGCTAATAACCATTGATGGACCTATCCTCCATGAACTTATCCAAGTTGTTTTTGAACAGTTTCTACCTGTTGGGTGTAATACATGGTCAGATGGATTCCTTAACATTTATTGCATTCGACTGGGATCTGACCAATACTTTAGAATGTGTGGTTTCACATTTCTTAAATTGTATTCTAGCTTCTTAACTGATTTTTTTATTTTCATTATTTTTATTCAGTTTGGCAACTGAATTACATAAACAAGTAATGCTTACTCTTTCTACTAACCTGCACACATCATGTACAGCTAATTTAGATTCAAGCTGAAAATTAGCATTGGGAGGAACCGGCATGACACTTGTAAGGTAGCTTCAACTGATCTGTTCAATATAAGGAGCTGAAACAGTGCATCAGAAGGAAGTACAGTCACTACATTTATCTTCAAATCCAGACATTTCAGATTGTCATTTCTCTACCATATACCAGTGAAGGGTAATGATCTTGTAAAACATGCCAAAACCAAGAGGGGCAGTTTGGAATATTCTTTTTTCCTCCCAAATCGTGACTACTTGAAGCTTTTGCATTACTAGTGGCTAGATAAATGAGTGGTATCATGAGGCAGATCTCTTTTCAATGAACATAGGCTGGCAAAGCATGTTTTTAAAAAAGACCAAAACAACCCTCATTTATTATTGTTTAGTGTTTGCCCAAGAATGTTCTTGCTGAATGGCTCTACTATGTAAATACAAAATCCAGGAATGGGGTTAGTTTTGTTTAAGTTTTTATTAGCTCTTGAAAACACTAAACATTTGCTGAATAGTACAAATAAAAACTTGTACTTCCAAAACTTTGACTTGCATTATTCTCTGGACTCAGCCTTGGAAATGTCATGGCTTTTCTTTATACAGACTTTGGTAGGAACTGTTCAATACTCTAGATCAGTGGTCTCCAAAGTTTTTTATCACGCATCCCTATCAGTAAAACATTTGAGCATGCACCCCCTGCCACGCCGGCTCTACCATTTTTGCCAAAGCGCAAAAAAAAGCCACTCGGACTCCCGCCCGAACTGCTGAAGCACAAAAAAAAACCCCGCTCCTCCTGCCGTGTACCCCCAAGGATCCTCTTGCGCACCCCTGGGGTTCGCGCACCCCACTTTGGAGATTACTGCTGTAGGTGAACATGTGTTTTGGAGATTGAGTCAGTTTTGTGATGATCATTAAATATTCCAAACTTCAGCTTTCCTTGTAGTGATCAATAACTCCCAAACCGAAATGGAGGATTTTTGATGACTGGAAAGACAGTTTCTTATACCAACTTCAACTATGCAGCGCCTAGTCATTTTGAAGATCGCGAACCGTCTTTGCCTTCAATATTGTCGCACCATTAGATATATCTTCTTGCTGGACTCTGGTCTTTATTCCAATATCTGCTTAAGCAGAAAAACTGGATTGTATGCAAGGATTCGAGAAAAGGTCTTTAAGAACTGGAATGAATTTGTATATTGGACAGATGGACGAAGGCATTCTAACATCTTGTGCTAAGCAAGTATGCTTTCAAACCTTGAAACATTGAGGAGTTCCTCAAGCAAATGGCAAAGGGATATAGTTTTAAGTTGGCATAGGCTTATCCAAAGTGACCTAGCAATGTAGGGAAGCACCCATGAACTTATTTGAGTAGTCAGTTTCCTAAACTGTTTCATTATTTGTCTAATGATGCTTTTTGACTACTTGGTTAGATTATTCTTAATACTCTTCCTATAATTCTAGTTCTGTGGAACTGGTCTGTGCTGGCCTCTGCT